TGATGCATTATAAATCAACGATCGATTATCGTATACACAGTTTTCACTTGCCTTACCTTTAAAAACAATGGATGCTGCTTAAGTTTATGATCAAATATGAAGAAGTAGCTGAAGGTGGCTGGAATCAGGTAAACGAGCGTCCCTCCGATGTCAGTAATGAAAAACAGTGAGATGAATTGACGCACTATGTCATCCTCTTTCCATGATTCTGGGTACACGTATGGCGTCAATACGTAATTATCGCATAGATCCAGTACCACGTCCATTGTCGAAAATGGTTCTATGGGCCTGAACGAAACAAAAAGCCTGTTAATTTTTGTTTTATATGCGAAAGGTGGGTTAATGATTGACGAGCAGCGGTATGAGTTGTGAACCGTCTTTCATCGATTGTAGGCCTACATGATTTGAAAAACGGGTATAAAAGTTGGGTTTTCTGACTTAAGAGGTATCAGAGAACACTTCGACGATATTAATACCTCTGTGTAAGTCCTTCAAAAACTGGAATGCTCCAACATCGTGCCTTTACCCCATGAACCATGAAATGCTCACCGTGTAAGGGCGGCTCCCTTTGGTTCCGCCCAACGTTGGGGTCTTCCCTCGACATTTCATAATGCATTGGCGCGGCGATGTTATGATTTTATGTTCTGGATGTAAAAACCTGTGACAAAATAATCACTGGGCTTTGAAAAACTCTCCCGAAAGCAGGAACTGCATCGACCTATCCCCAATCCAGTTGACTATCATCGATTGTTTCTTATTGTTGACTTTGGCACGATTCAGCCCGTTTGAGTTATTTTTTAACTCCACGAATCTGCTATGTACGGTGTGCCATGATAAAAGATCATAAGAAACGATTGAAATGATGTATATTTGGCTTACTGCCTAAATTTAAAGAAAAATACCTTACACCTACCAATGAATAGATCGTCTAATCTTCACAGCAAATAAACCAAGAAAATAGACGTTTTGCGACCCTAGACAGATTTTCGAGCCTTGCCTTGCCTACTATATACTAGTACCATGACCATTATCATGATGAACTTTAGCCGGGCTGTGTGGTGCAATGTCTATTTACTTAATTAATATCATGCGACAGTTTATCATCACAATGGCTTTCCGTACCATGAACTAGCAGTGCGGCCACTACAAAACAAGACAACTCAGGTGGACAATAGCCCACATCATCGATAGAAGAGCATAAAAAGATCTATTAGTATTACTGGAAACCCAGATGGTGAACCACCTAACTTGCAGCGGCCTTACCGTTATAAACCTAACAGAAGAGGAATCTGAAAAACTCATCTCCCATGCACCGAGACTCGAATCCGGGGTTTTGCATACATGGCGAGCGCCATAATTACTTGACCAGCGCCAGTTTGAATTACTTTAAATTAACGTGTCTGATGTCACAATTTTGAAATAGCACAATATCGCATCGTAAGGTCTGTAAAGCCTTGTTTCCATAAAAATAGCTACGCTCTATCGCCGTCTCCTTTGCTGTGGCGGCGCCAGCGTGGGGGGGGGGCAGGGGCCTTAATCCCCCATCGGTTTGGTCAAGCACCACCCCCCCCCCCCATCGGCCA